TATATATATATATGAAATGACTCGGGAAGACATCCCCAACAACATATTTAAAAATGAAGCAAATCGGAGAGGAGGCCCCTTTTATGCATAATTACCTTTTTTTTTTTTAGAAATGTCTATGGTTGGTGTAACTAGCGCAAATTTTCTTTAATGATTTCCAAAAATTTTGAAATGTCTATAACTCAAGAACTAATTAATCATATTTTAATGAATTATATATGAAATTTGGATTGAAAAAACTGAAGAACAATATAATATATAATTAGAAAAAAAAGTAAAGTAAAGTGTGCAAATTAGAAATTTGCACATGGCTTCCTCATAGAGGAAGTGTTCGGGATCGTTCGATCGTACTTTCGGATTATAATTTGTAACGTCCTTATAGCGTAATGTACAGCATGTGCTTCCAGAAAAGGAGACTTTGACCGCTAAAAGTAAGTCTCACTGTTATTCTCTTTGTCTCGAGGACACCGAGGAAGCCCGTGCTGTACATCTCATAAACAAATTCATAACGATCGCTCGCGTTTTCACAACGACAGCGAGCACGTGCCGCTTGACGACACCGGCGAGCTGACAAGCTCGACCGCCAATCCCATGCGCCGCAGAGCGAGCGCGCCTGTCAGGCGCGCTCTAACGCACGCGGGGCCCCCCGGATCACCAATCAATTTTGGCGATCGAGGGTCACCTCAAAAATTAAACCGGGCTACGAATTGATTGGTAGCTAGCGCGCGTGGGGCAATTTTTCCCTTCTGATAAAAGGGACCGGTCGCGCCTTTTCGCTAAGACCGATTTCCGCTCTTAGACTGCCCGCTTCGTCACTAGTTCGCCAATCGAGTCTTAACCAGTTCGCTGATTTTCGCCTTGCGCTTCGCCGTGTGTTACCTATAAAACGACTTGCTATTCACTGTGGACTGACTTTCGAATTTCGGAAATATATTTCGTGTTAAATCGTGAATACAAACGTGGTGTCTTTATTCTCTTTGTTTTCCTGAACAGTCCTGTCCGGATCTCGCGATTCACTTGCGCTCTCGAACATTATTGGTCCTTCGAGCCGGATCCTCTACCGGCCACCGCGAACTCGGTAGTGCAACGCCTGTGAATGCCTGAAAAGGAAAAGAAAGTGAGCATGGACTTGACCGCCCTGTTAGCGGCGCAAAGCGACGCTCATGGTCGCCTTGCCCGCTCGGTGACGAACTTGAAGAAGATGGGCGCAGAAAACATCACGCTCCACGCCGTTGAGACACGCCTCAAGCTCCTTGACCAGACTTGGGCGAAGGTCGAGGCACAGCATGAGGCCATCCGAGCGCTCTACAAAGAGGGTTTCGACTCAAGTGAGTACAACCAGACTCAGTTTTTTGACACCATCGAAGACACGTACGTGCTGGAACGAAGCGTGCTCAGCGAATACGCGAAACGGCTCCAACCAGCATCAAGTTCCGCTCCGCCGAAGGAGTCCGGTAACGCCTTATCCGTGTCTGCGCTATCTCGACTCAAGGTGAAGACGTTTTCGGGTGCGTTCGAAGATTGGCCTACCTTCCGCGACAGCTTCTTGTCGATTGTCGGGAAACACTCGTCCATCTCGAACATTGAACGGTTCCATCATCTGAAGCTCTGTCTTGACGGAGCTGCTGAAAGATTGATACGCCCGTTAGCCGTGATTGGGGACAATTATCCGCGCGCGTGGAAAATGTTAAAGGAACATTACGAGAACAAACGGGAAGTTGCTCGCTCTAATTTCGCCGCGTTCACCAGCACTCCCAAAATGAAAAGCGACACCGCCGAAGAACTTGATCGGATACACAACGCCGTGACCAGTGTCGTGAACGGGCAGGAGGATATCGGTCGGCCCATCGCTTCGCACGGCTGCAATTTGCTGAACCATCTCGTTGCCGAGCTGTTCGACCCGAAAACTCGCCTCGAGTGGGCTTCTTACACAAGCGAATCGAACGACGTTCCAAGTCACGAGACTCTGGTGAAGTTCATTTCGAGACGAGCTCTCACTCTCAAAGTCGCGAAGGCGACAACCGCCAAGGTCTCTGGAGACCCGCCGCGATCCGCGAAGTCCCATCTCGCTAAACGGTCCATCGCCTCATCGCAGTGTGTCTTGTGCAAGGGCAAGCACCATGTCATGATGTGCGACGAATTTAAGGCGAAATCCGCGATCGAACGTAAAACCGTCGCGGAAACACCCAGACTTTGCTTCAACTGCCTCGGCTCGCACCAGTTCGCGAAGTGTCAATCCGCGAAAACGTGCGTGTCTTGTAAGTCTCGGCATCACTCGATGCTCCACGAGGCTTACACCCCGCAGACGGTCTCCGAAGCCAACGCTCTCTCCGCAGTGCGTCAGGACGACGAAACCAAGGCGATTCTCCTCGCGACCGCGAGGGTGAACGTCGCCGACCGCCACAGAATCCCGCATACGATCAGAGCCCTGATCGACCAAGGGTCAGAGGTCTCTCTGATCTTCGAATCGCTCGTGCAGCGCCTGCGACTACCCCGATCTCGATCCTCCGTGTCAATAATCGGCATCGGGGGCTCCCGCACCGGGTCCAGCAGAGGACGGGTCACGCTCAGTCTCTCGTCCACCGCAAACGACGCTGAGTTGACCGTC